TATTATCCTACATTCCTACTTATACATCTACCATTTTAAAGATGGAAAGTAAATCTTCCCTTATGCAAAACAATTTTGATAAGTGGAAGGACCCGAAGACCGGACTGTGGTGGGCAACTTGCAAGTGGTGCAAGAAAGAGTGTAGCTTGAGGCGTTCACATGGATACGAGATGCCAGTAAAACATATGAAGTCTTGTGACAAAGGCAAAACAACAACCAACGGTGTCGGAAATCCCAATTGATATTTATTAGAAAATGTATTTCATATTGATTTTTTTTCTCAATTCTCAAATGTAGTTCTGATTTCAAATAAATGCACTTGAACTTTGTTTTTAATAAGAATTTGTATAAACTATAATTAAAAAAAATTAAATATGACCCGGCCCGGCGGGTGGCCCGACCCGTGACCCGGGCAGGTGACCCGGCCCGAACCGGCACCGGCCATAGCACGGGCCGGTCCCGGGCCTACCTCTAATAAACCCGAGGCCCAACCGGGTCATGGCCCGGCCCGGGTCCATCACTAGACAGGGATCAATTAACTTTGGAAATTTTTCACAAGTAGATCAAAAAGTGAAAATAATATCACTTTTTTCACTTTTCATTTTTGTTTTTAAAAATAGACGAATTGCACTTTTCTTTTCAACAATGGACCATATGCCCAAAACCAACCAACCTGGGAACTAAGAAGCTAACGTCCGCTCCCCTTCGAGAACCAACCTACTTGGGAACCTAAGAACCAATCAACGTCCCTTCTCTCTTTGTTTAAACTTATACAAACACCAGAAATTAATATAATTCTTGTTTTTAAAGTGAAAAAGAATGTAAAAATGATGAAGATAATCAAAAAATAAAAAGAATAAAAAAAAGGGGAAAATAATAAAAATACCTCAAACTTTGAAGGGGTGTGAGATGAGCATCCCAAACTTGCATATGTGATTTAAATACCCCAAACTTTATGTAAAAAGTTATTTTTGCACCATTGTCATGTATTATTTCTTTCAAAAGTGTAAAGTTATGGGGTTAATTGCATAAATTAAAATAGCAAATTAAAAGTGTTGCAATTATATAGATTGCGGGTAACATTATTTATTTCGCAATGGAAGTTTAGAATGTTGATTGTGTCTTCATGAATTCTAAAATATTTTAAATTATGTAATTAACACCATAATTTACATTTTTTGAAAAAAATAATACTTGACTACGGTGTTAAAATCACTTTTTATACAAAATTTGGGGTATTTAAATTACATATGCAAGTTTGGGGTGCTCATCTCACACCCCTTCAAAGTTTGGGATATTTTAATTATTTTTCCCTAAAAAAAATAATAGATAAATAAATAATGAAAGTATGAAAAGTCAAATAATGCAAATTAAAAAAATTGAAGATGAAAAATTGTAAATTAATATTGAAGAATGAATTTCAATTTGAAAAATAAAACAAAAAATTAAAAACAAACGTATAGAAAATTAAAAAATGAAAAAACGGAAAGGAAAAATGAAAAAGATTTCAAATAGATTAAAACACAAGAACATTGTACAAAAATAACATGTTTTGTAATGTTATTTTTTAGAAGCGTTGTACTCCATGATTTATGAAATGAAATTTTATAAAATTAATGAATAAAGCGAAATATAAAATTACAAAAAATAAAAAATAGGGACTTTCTCAAAAAATGAAAAAAACGTAAATTAGACATTAAAAATTAGAATTTTAAACTTTCTAAAAATAAATTAAGAATTTTAGGAAAAAAATTAGATAAAATAAAAAAAAAATCAAATAAACATATAAAAGTTAAACTAACGAGATAATAAAAAATTTCAAATTTAAATTTATATAATAAAAAATACATTACACATATTTTTCTAGTAATATATATAAACTACAATTATAAAAAATCAGAAAATTAATGTAACTTAAAAGTGTGTAAAATTAAAATAAAATCAGAATATTATAATATGAAAATTTAAAATGATGAACTTGAAATATAATTACATATTCAAAAAAAAATTAAAAATGAAATTTTCTAATAATTACTTTATTGTTAGTTTTTGTTTCTTATGATTTCTTTGTGTTTCCTTTTGTTGATAATTTTGATATTTTTTTTGTTGTTTCTTTATGTTTCAGGTTGCTTTTCATATTCATATATCCAAATTTAGAATTCTAGGTGTTCATTTATAAATCTATATAGATATTTTAATTTTTAGGAATTAGCATAAATAAATATAAACCTAAATAAACCAGGAAAAAAAATCTAAATTAACAATAAATAAAAATAAGCAACACGCTGTAACAAAAAATAACACGATACAACAGGATGCAACAAAATGCAATTCATCTAGTGCAACAAAATGCAACATGATGCAACAAAAAGTAACGCGATTCAACCAAGAGCAACTCAATGAAACAGAAGGCAACACGATGCAACCAAAAGAAACACTATGCAACAAAAAGCAGTATGATGCAACAAAAAGCAGTATGATGCAACAAAAAGCAACACGATGCAACAAAAAATAACATGACGTAAAAATTACATTCACAAGTATCACAACAAATAATTCAGCCTAGTTTTTCCATTTATTACATTTATCCATGAAAAAAATTCGGTTTTGTTCTAATTTCTTCTTCCTTTTATGCATCTCAATACACAAGTCCTTATAGGTTACTTTCTGTTGTCTTATGCGCCTCCAATGCAAATGCAATCACTATAAAACAAATTCAAAATAAACTATTAGACACAACTACTACACCTATACACATATACACATACAAAAACAAGATCACCATCTCAAAACTTCAAGCAACGGGTCAACAATTATAATTTAATAATCAAAAGACTTCCTATTCAATAGTTACCAGACATCCTTAGTTGTGTTTGACCGAGTATATAAAAAATAGTAGGAGCTAAATTAATAAGCTAAGGCACTAGATATCATAATTTTTTTTTTCCAGAAAATAAAGCAAAATTGAAAATATTTTCAAGTGCACATTTCATAGGGAATCCGTAGGAACATTAAATAAACTCAAACAGCCACCTAACGCCAAAGCTATCCTCTGCACCAGAACAAGGTAATTTATTTCAGCATGAATTACTTAAGCATCAACCGTGCACTCAATAAACTCAATTAGAAATGTCAGAAACACACATGCTAATATGTCCTTACCATGTGATATGAATCAAATATAAGTTGGGAAGCATGCTATCATAGGTTTGTCTCCCTAAGTAGCATGTGCTGCCCCTTTGCAGCCTGGATTTTTTGCCAAGGTCAAAAGATCAAGATATTGCGCCTAAACTAGTAGTATATGCTTTACTTGTTTGGTGAGACTAAGTTTTTGGTGTATTCCATAGTATATTTTACTGGTACTTAATGATCAATCAACACAACAATATGTATATACTCCATTTTTTTCAATTCTTTGCTAGGCATAATTACAGTGAATAAAGCAGATAATGATAGCTAAGTGAATACTTTAAATCTTGGAAAAATTGATAGTAATAATCCCAACTATTGGCGGTCCGCTCATAATAATCCCAACTATTGATTATTACAGAATAATCCCAACTTTAGGGACCTTCCGCCAATAATGGTCCCTATGAATAAATTCTTGTAGTTTCTAAAGTGGATGAGATGAGATATAACAAGTAATCCCTATAAATAATCTCAACTTTTAATTTTTACGCTTAATTTCTATTTAAAATTCACTTTTTATAGAGGTAATATATGGTCATGGACCATTATTGGCGGATAGTCTATATAGTTGGGATTATACAAAAATAATCAATAGTTAAGATTATTTTCAGCGGATCGGCAATAGTTGGGATTATTATTTTCAATTTTTCCTTAAATCTTTTACCAAACTAAAGTTAACAAATTCAAAGGCCACCACACCGCACTTCATGTCATTTAGCTGCTCTAACACAGAATACACAAATGAATAGTAAATTTTACCTGAAATTGTCCATGTGCAGAGTGGTGTAATCCTTTTGTATAGACTCACTTCAAGTTTTGTTAAATTCATCACTAGTTCATCATGGAACTAGTTTTTAAGTTTTTAGACGTATCAACACAATAAAACAAGATAAATGTTAAATTTATACTTCAACCAGAGAAGTAGTCGACATTAGTAGCTAGAGAGCTATTATTCTGAGGTTTACCACAGATGATATTCTCCAAACGGATAGAATCGTAAGTTGAACTAAAATCCATGGACGGTAGGGACTAGGGGTAGTGACAGGGAAAACCCAAAGTGGACCCTTAGCCTCTCCAAACCTGGCCAATTTCAAACGCAATAGATGAGATCTTCCGAAGTAGAACGGCATTGAGAAGACGGGCAACACAAACAACGAATCTCCTTCTCATCTTGCTACACACATCAACACCATCGGAGTCGACTTTCTCTTCTCTCACCAAATCTTAGGCACAGACTTTATGCAATGATCACGAGCGCCAGAAGGAAGAGAAGAGGCGACTATAGCAGAATCGGTAGCGCTTTTGATTGACCAGAACCTTACTAAATTGACGGTGATAGTTCTTAGTCGGAGCAAAAACAGATGGCCGGAAGTCTAGGGTTCGTGAAGTTATAATGACCTTACAAATTACAGATGGGGTTGAGATCCTTATTTTGGGGTTTAGACTATTTTTGAAATAAAAAAAATTAAATGAAAAGTTAAAAGTTTAGAGATGAAAGAAAAAAAGTTAGGCGACATAAATGAAATGTCATAGGTAAAAGTAGCAATTACGGGATATTTCCACATTAACTTTATGCTCAGTCAAACATTGTAAACCATGTGAGTACCTTTAAGTGGGACAACGGGAGTATTTCTTTTCATTTGGTTACGATATCATGTATCGATTCATGTTAGCCGACCCCAAATTTTTTTGAGACTAAAGCTTAGATATTGTAGTTGTTGTAGTCTATTTTTGAAAAAATAATCAAAAGTGAAAAAAGTGACAGTATTTTTGTTTTTCATCTCATTTGTGAAAAATTCCGTTTTTTTAGCTCGATCATGCTATGTAAATGCCATTTGCTACAACTGGGCAACTATTTTTGGATTGGTGGGCCATCATAATACCTTAGTTGTCAAAAAAGCACAATATCCGGGGATATATGAAAACCCTCACATCATTCACGTGTACTTGAATATTCACGTGTACTTGAATACATGATTAATCCAAAAATATCCTCAAGTGCGACTAGCCTGATGGAGCTCAAGCGACAACAAATAACTCCGTACAATCATAATTTTGCTCCATTGCTCTCATGAAGCAGGAGCATATTCCTGGATGATCGACGCCAACTTATCTCTTTCCTCTACAGATTTTAGACGTATCAAGCATGTCTGCGCTACAACACTGCTGCTATTCTCCCCACTCTACAATCAGTGTCAAAGAAAAACACATGGTAGGTTGGAACACAGATTCCAGAATGCAAGGCAAAGAAATCAGGGGGATAAAAAGCTTATGCCACTTTTAGTCTTCCCAATATTGTGTTTAGTATTGTTGGAGGAACACCTTTGGTCACGACTTTGAAATTTTCCGCATTTGGTCATCCGATCACTTGTGACAAAATTATAGTAGGACTAAAAGTGTAGCAATAACAATAGTTGAAGGGCCTAAAGTGTCACTTTTAAAACAATCGGAGGACTAAATGTGTTAAAACTAAATGTCGAAGAGACAAAGACAAAAAGTGTATCTCTCACAATATCTGGGTGACTAAAAGTAAAGATATTCAATGTCGAGTATCAAAAGTGTCATTGACACAATACTCGAATGGCTTAAAAAATTTAGGGGATAATTAGGCATTTGTTCAACCTGGTTTTGGTACCAGAAAATTCTTAGTGAGAGAAAATACGGAGGAAACTAGATGAAGTGTGGAAGTTGGGGAAAATGAAATATCTGGTCTAACTAGAGAAATTTATTTTTTATATTTGTCAGAATCCATCTTATTTATTATATCTATTACTTCCTTCAACCCTTATTTAACTCCTTGTTTGACTATACAAAATTTTCATGAAAATGGATATATTTAGTCAGAGGTTAACTGTATCAACCATAGAATGCCTTCCTTATAAGGAAAGTCAAATATATGGGACAAAAGAAGAAAACATGAAAAAAGAAGGATAGAGGAAGTATATAAATATGTCAAAATATAAACAATGTATGTATGAATTTAAATTTTAAAGACACTTACAATTATTCATTTTCCTCACTTTCTTGGATGAAACCAAACACAATAAAGAAACTTTATATGTCATTTGTTTCCTTTCCCTAGTATTTTCCGAATTTCCGATATCCATACTTATAATTTGGTTTTCCTTGTATTTCCCCAGGTACAACTACACTTAAATAACACTATTTTCCTCTGACATTTTTTCCATTCTCTACTATTTTCCACATTCCAAACATAGTTGTACGCCTGGAAGCACAAGGTTAACAGAAAGTGTGGGGTCAAAACAATTCCACTATGCCTAGAGTAAGAGTATTACCGATGTGTGGAATATTGAAACGACCGAATTCTTTTGCAAGTTTGTCTTGATGCCTGGATATAGCAATGCATTAAGCACCACCCTGCCAACCTGCAAGGAAACAAAGAATAATTAAATAGTGTTTGTCAATGCTTCTCAAAAGCACTTATCTATTTTTTGGCTTAAAAAACTAAAAACATTGTTTGCAATTAAAAACATGCACTTAATTTAAGCATTTTTAAGTCAAAAGCTGGAAGTCACCTAAACTTTGGTCGATATCTCAAACATTGGGGAGAAATTTTTATGCCTAAACTTAATGGTGCAAATCCTAAATTACCCTTCTGACACATCAATCTCCCGATACAACTTTCTTCTCCAGGCCCTCCATCTTCCCCATCGGGCTTAGGTTTCAAGGTGAACTAACCCGAACAGTTTGGTGCACATAGCCAAGAATCCCAAGATCCAAATAGCTGCTACATGGTTGGGATCTAACCAAGCTTCTGCTGATGAATCAAGCAGGATGCGTAGAAGTCAAGCGTGGAGTAAAGGAAATACACGTGATGCATGTTCACTGGTCACATCAATGGGTAAGAGAGGGAGGAACCTCCAGTAGCCCAGACATAGAGATCATAATTGCTATTTTATTTTTTCAAAATGGAGATCGTAATTGTATGTTCTTATGTTGTTTTTATCTTTTTTCTTTCTTATCTCTTTTCTATATTTCCTCTCTTTTTCTTTTACGGTTTATCTTCTTTATCTTTTTATGTTCTTATGTTATTTTTATTTTCTAGCTTTTTTATGCTCTTTTATCTTTTCATATTTTATCTTTCTTATATTCATATGTTATTGTTATCTTATATTTATTTATCTTTATCTTATCCGTTGTATTTTACTTTTTCTTCTTCTTCTTGTCTCTCTTCTTTTTTTGGCATCGATATCATAGATCGATTCATGTTAGCCGACCCCAAAATCTTTTGAGAATAAGGCTTGGGTGTTGTTGTTGTTGGAGATCATAATTGTAAACTTTTTTAAATATATAAATTTTACATTTGAAAGGGTATTTTTGTATCTACACTCGAATATTATATCACAAATTACTTATTCACCAAACATTAATTTTTTACTTTCTTAACTAAAAGCACTTCTATTCTCAAACACTATCAACTTTTACTATTCAACACTTTTACTAAAATCTCTAAAATAAATCACTTTTGAAAAGAAAAACCAAATGCAAACACTATCGTACTCTCGTGCAAAACCAAGTAAAACTCTTGGAAAGAAGACATCACAAAGTTGGAATTTTAAAAGAAGCCTTACCTCATTTCGTATGAGAATAGTGGGTTTGGATTCCCGTGTACCCTTGTTAGCATCTTCTTTGCATTTTATAGAAAGCTGACCTGTGCCTCTATCCTTCCATGCATCTTTATCTGTTGGATCACTTGACTGGTAATATATTGATACACAAATTAGTTAGAAAATAAAACATCCAAAGGCAATCATACGATGAATTCTTAAAGTGTGATACTATCTATACACTCACATTATAATGACACATTTTTCTAAGGGTGTATTTGGGTGGAATGCTTCAGGAAGTTTGGAGGGACTATGTTAGATTTTTAAATTTATTTGAGATTTTATAAAAAAAATAAAAAAGTTCACATGATATGGGATTGAATATTCCAAATTCCAATAACATTTTAATCACTATTAGAAACATTCGGACATTCCATTTATGAAGACAGAGACTAACCAATACAGGGTGCTTTGTTGTTGGTGTTGGCCCTGGCCCTGGCACTGGCATTGGCATTAGTATTAGTAGTAGTATTAGTAGTAGTAGTATTAGTGGTAGTATTATTAGTATTATTAGTATTATTAGTATTATTATTATGATTATTATTAGTATTATTATTAGTATTATAATTATTATTATTATTATTATTATCATTATTATCATCATCATCATCAATAGTACTCCCACTGTCCCATTCTAAGGTTCTCATTTTCCTTTTTTAGAGGTCCCATAAAGGTCTCAATTTCTATTTTAGGTAACAATTAAGACTCTTAAATGACATTTTAATCATCAAATATTAAAAATAATACATGTTAGAACCGACTCACAATAAGAGAGAGTAGGAAGAATCGATCAAGAAACTGATCAAGAAACGTTCATTGATGAAAGGGAATGTTTACAATAGCCTCAGACAATTCGAGATGCCCAATCTCGCAGCCCATTCTCAACTGAATACTTGCCTACCTCTCCTTTTCCCGTCCTTACTCTTTATAGTACTTCTATTTCTTTAAGGGCTGACCCATTATTCTGGATTTACTAAATGGCCCAGAATCTTCACTTATACACTATTACACTCTTTAATACTATTCTAGTATTCTTATTAGTATTATTGTCTATGTTCCTATCAATACTCCCCCCTAAACAACCACCTTGTCCTCAAGGTGGGTGATAGGAATCAGCCATGATCTTCCACTTCCACTTCATTCTTGCACCTCTCCCTTCCCAATACCTCCCAGAATGCTTGGCCATGTCCTTCATTATTTGATCTTTCATCTTCACTTCTTTCACAGCAAACAGGAGCAGAAGCTGGAGATGAAAACTCCCTGGATTTACGTTGTCAAAGATAATACTTCTTTCACCCATTTCTGCATTGTTCTTATCTCCATCTCCACTTTGACCAAGATAAGAAATTGGATGAGGTCCTACATGCTTTACATGATAACCAGACTTTGAAGCCTCTACATTGTCATCAATATTATCATACATAATTGTGGCTTTTACCGGCACCAATTATGTTGATGTGAATTTCAGAGAAGGTTTGTGATATTAGTGAGACAGATCCTTTAGTGAATAAACCTGATTTATGAAAGTTCAGTTCATGCCCTCCTGTCAAAGTGTCAACCCACAAGTTGGTAGATGAAACAAGGGTACTTGGACATTTACCATCCCGATGTACAACCTCTATTTCCTGGAGGACCTTGACTGCCTCATATCTTCCATTCAATGCCGATGAAACTTGATGCAAACTTTTATATAAATTCTGCCAATGAACTTCATCCGAGGCATCCTTTGCACAAGGGATATACAGGTTCACCGCATTCTTTTGCTCTAGTCCATGAGCTCTTTCTTCAGCCTGTAACATGTGTGCAGGTTCCCTTGTTAGTCCCAAAAGGATAACATATTGAACAGATTTAGTCCTGAGCCACCAGCAAGTATTCCAATATTGTCAATCTTAACCTCCTTACTTAGTGTAATCACACGAGTCTCCAATGCACCAGAAATATACAAGAATTTCTTCAAAACAGTAAGATGCCCAACTAACTTCCTCTTTGGTGCAACCTGAAAACTAGAGCTTGATTCAGAACTCGGATCTAATCCACACTCAGACTCGCAAGTAAAACCTTGCAAGCCATTGTAGAACCGAACAACACAACCATGCTTTTCAATCTTCGTTATTCATCCTCGTTTGATTTGTTTCTCAGTAGCATCAATGTCTGCGCTGATGATTCCCTGAAACTTCTTTCCATCATTCCCTTCTATTTCCTCAGTTTTCTCGATGTGGACAGTCGCTGTAGAGCTTTCCCAAGTATTTGAACCAGTAAATTTATCAACGACAGGTTCATATTTCATGAAAATAGAGGATAGAGTCACCACAGCAGATTTCTCCTCTCGTAACACACCATCATCGATGAACGTATCTTCATAGAGAGGTTGCTGTGGCTTGCCAGACTCCTGCGACTCGGACAGCAATGGGAACTGGAAGCTTCTTCTTCTGGTCGCATCACACCTTGAAGTGAACTGCTAGCGTATGATGAAGCCTGCGAACCTGGAGACACGGCTTGCGGAGAAGATTGCAAACTGGAAGAAAATATGGCGAGAAAACCTGCGAACGACTAGGGAGTCAACTTGTGATGATGAACTGTAAGGAGAAACAGTAGTTCGGGTAGAAGATTGCGAACTGAGAGAAATTTTTGGCGATCTCATATACTGGTTCTCTGTCTTCAGACTGCGTGTAGGCTGGAAACGCCGAGTTATGGCTTCCTTCAGAGCCTTCCAATTCTTTTCGCTCGTTTGAGTTTCCCACCATGGAAACCAGGCTAACGCTCATTCCTCCATCGCGCCAGCTGTTACTTCAACTTTATCTTTTTCTGCAGTAGCCTTGAGACTGAAATAATGTTCCATCCTAACGATCCATCCATAAACTTCATCTCCATTAAACCAAGGTAGGTCCACTTTTCTTCCAGCTTGTGCAGGTGTTCTATCTTCTGTGTGGTATCTATGATCAAAATCAGACAAAGAACGTCCGGAATTACCTCTTGATATCATGGGGCTATGGTTAATTGTCCGATGCTGCTGTTGCGAGGCGTGCGAAGAAACTTTCGCGCTTAGCGATGATCCTTGCGAACTGAGTGAAGCCTTCCGCGATTGCGAACCAGAAGAAACAGTTCGCCACTCCTTCTGCGAACTGGTGAGCGATTTGCGATACGATGCGTAAGAGGCATGGGGTCTGCTTCGCGAACTACTCCGGATTTTATTCTCCAGATTTGCGATGCTCGCCTGTATCGCCGCCATGGTCGTCGCTATGCCTTTCATCGAGGTATGGTTCCGCTCTATGGTTTCCATTCTGTTCTCCATTTTCGGCTCTCGCCCAGACCTTCCACAACTAAATCGGAAATTTTCTGGTATTGCGCCTACAGTTCCAATCACCAGAAACGATGCTTTGATACCAATGTTAGAACACTGGTAAATCTGACTCACAATAAGAGAGTAAGAAGAACCGATCAAGAAACTGATCAAGAAACATTTATTGATGAAAGGGAATGTTTACAGTAGCCTCAGACAATTCTATTTCTTTAAGGGCTGGCCCATTATACTAAATGGCCCAGAATCTTCACTTATACACTATTACACTCTTTAATACTATTCTAGTATTCTTATTAGTATCATTGTCCATGTTCCTATCATTCTCAAAATATACTCGAATTAGCTTATTTAATTATTGTCTACATAATCATGCAATTTTGTAATGGGAACCTTTAAGCGGGACGGAGGTAGTATTATTATTACTCCGTATTACAATTATTATTTTTACATCTTTGTGGAATTTTTTAGTATTAATTACAACTTGCAATTACGATATTAGTTTACTTTTAATTATTCTTTTATTTTAGTATTAATTACATTATTTATTCTTTTATATAAATAAATTTGTTAAAAAGTTGAGGCTTACGCCTTATTGCGCAATGAGGCTTACGCAATAGGCAATGCTAAGAAACCGCCTCAAACACGCAATACGCAATTTCGAAACTTGGAGCACACATGTCTTTACTCCCCTCGTAGACATCAAGCTTATCTAGAAGCTTGAAGGAGGGTAAAACGGAATGCTATGTTTTTCCGTGATCAAATGGCATCATTAGGAAATCAATAATCAAGTGATAACATTTTAGGATGTGATGGTCGATGTTCTTGATTTCCATCTCGGGAGGCCAATGCATCATTTTCTAACCATAGTTATCCGGTCTCATTTCCATCATTTGCAATGGAGCCAAAGACTCACAATTTTTTGGCTTGGGAATAAGATGGAATAAAGCAAAATGGCTCACTAAACTGTCTGCGCTTCTTTGTTATGAAGTTGTAGTCAGTCCATGCATTTTCCGACACGAATTTCATTATGGGTCATCCGGAAAGAGTCTCTCTGTGCTTTAGTATAGAGGTAAGACTGCGCACATCCGACCCCCCTTTACCCCACCATAGGTGGGAGCCTTTGCGGCACTGGGGTAATGAAGAAGAAGAAGTTATCCGGTCTCCAATGTCTGTAGTCTTGAAGTACTCGCAGAAATCTGCATGTGACAAAGAGGCATAAAGCTGTTTGGTGACGTTATTAGGAGCCATGTCAGGATGAGAGGTCAGGGAGGGACAAGGATGACTGTTGGTTTTTGCAGCAAGGCCACTGTGCTTGCAATTTTGCGTCATCTTTTCTCACATCAGTAAAGGATATGAGGTCGGGTGAGGTGGAGTTTCTGGTATGGGTGCTACCAGTTGGGGCTGATAGAAGTGACGAAGGTTGCAAAGATGTGGGTTATAACATCACATCCAAAGGTGGCGGCGATAGCATCTGAACCAAGGTTTGAAATTGCATATTGCGTCTTTGAGGCGGTTTCATACCATTGCCTATTGCGTAAGCCTCATTGCGCAATGAGGCGTAAGCCTCAACTTTTAAACAAATTTATACTACGTATAAAAGAAAGTACAACCAATGTAATTAATCTAGAGTAAGAGGATGATTAAAGTTAATCAATGTCCTGATGAAAGCCAACAAAATTGATATCATAAACCATCCAAAAATATGTTTGAACATAATTCAAAACAAATATTTTCTAATAAAGAAGCTAATAAATTACTATGTGTATAACTAACAAAAAAACTAATAAAA